TTCGTATTGTCGAACGCCGTTCGACTCCCGTTGAAGAGTCGAAGTTCCAGAGAAGGTAAAGTTCAGCGGTGTTTGTGCCGTCGCGGGTCCGATTTGAGTTCCATGAACTTTACGACCAAACATCGCTGAACGCGTTCTACTAAACAAGATGGCCTCTGCCACGGGTTCGACTATACGAATGGCGGCCACTCAGCCGTTCATCAATTTGGCTGGGGTTAACTCCCAACCTGGGAGGTAAATAGGCTGCACACTCCACTTGTGTGTGGTCTAGCTGTTCGGTGATTTGACAGTTTGCTTGGTAACCCCAAATACCGAACCATATCAGTGGAAAGGCACGAACAAGCCTTTCCATGTTAACATATGGGCCATAGTCCTGGGGTAAGAGGCTGGCAAGCAGGTCCCTCCAAACACCAGTGACGAAGGCGCTTTCATCACAGAGATAATATCTATGAGGAGGAGAATTGGCTATAGCTATGCACGGAAAGGCTATTAATGGGAACTAACTAGGGAGGGAGAGGAGGAACATAGTCTACTATGAGGGGAGGGGAATGGGTATTAACCTACTAGGCTTCTACTGATGGGGAGTAGGTGTCAAGTTATTACCCCAACACAAAAGCAAGAGGCAGTAAATACTTAAACAGATACAGCAAGTATTACCATACCTTAGGGTGGCCAAGCTTAACGCACGGAGTATAGAATGTAGTCCTGAGAGAAAATAAGAATAACTAGAAACAGGCCAAGGTCAAGCATAGGAGAAGGTAGGATAAACAAGTACACAAAGGCAGGGTCAGGGATTCCAGAGATAAGAGTAGTCGAATAACAGAGCCAAGTCAAAACCAAAAACACACTGAATACACTGTATAACACTTTCTCAGACTACTAAGACCATGACAGGATAAGATTAATTTTAAGATGTTTATGCAGCTTGTTATCACTTTTACCCTTCTGTGCCTGCATTCCTATAGTTTCAGCAAGGTCTAGAAGTTTCAAGGAAACTGGTCCCCCACCTTTTGTTAATCTGCTCAGATTTGTGAAGTTGTAACTATTCAAGTATCCTTTTTTCTAATACGTTTCTCATTCGCCTTATTAATTGCTTTTTTGCCTATATACGTTATGCTCTGAACTCAAAGTTTGAAGAAGTTTTGAAACACTATGACTGCATATGTGTGTCTCGTTGCTCTCATAAGTGTCTGTGTGTGTGTGTGTCTGTGTCTGTCAGTGAATGAGCATATGTCTGTCAGTGTGTCTGTTTGTCATTGAGTGAATGTATGTCTGTCAGTGAGTGTGTGTGTGTGTGTGTATCAGAAAAACAGAGAATAGAGTCAGCGCTTATATACCAAAAGACAGAAAGGCAGCAATCCCAAACAAGGACTCCCTCACGTGTCCTTGAGGTAAATGGAAAAGGCAAGCAAACAAAGTAATGGCACTGCGCCAATAAGCAAGGTAAATGGAAATTGGATGTTTTACTGTTTTTAAATTATTGTTAATAAATAGATTTTGGTCTTTTTACCCTTTTGCACCATTATCTTTTATTTACATTTCTATTTTTTTATTATTTTTTACCTGGCTTTTTATCTTATTGTATCTTTCCTTATACTCCAAAGAATCCTTAGGTGGGGATCATACCACCCGTACCCGTGTCATAGAGCAGTATATACTGCCCTATATACTGTGAGTATATTTTATTATATTTTATATACCACAAATGTTTTACTGAGAGCACTATTGCTGTTTTATTATCTTCTCTCTGAGCTTACCACATATCGCAGAGGCGGGGATCATACCGCTCTATGCCTACTACACTAGAGCTAGTATAAGCTCTATTAGATGTGAGTGGTTCTAATAATTTCTAATACTTTTTATCTAATTTTTGGAACATACTGCCCCATTATTGTTTTCGTTTTATCTCCCTACTGGCTCTCTGTCACTGCACCGAAGAGGAAGAGGATACTCACCACATATCCTACAAGCGGGGATCATACCGCTGCAAGCTATTCACACCAGAGCTGGATTAAGCTCTACAAAAAGTGAATAAGATCTCTTCTATTTAGATTATCTCTTGGATCACCCTTCTCAACCTGCAAGGAGCAGAACCCTATAACTCCAGAGACCAACCTAGGATCCAAGTTCCACTATACTGGACTCCGTTGTATTATTACCACCGCTACCAGGACTTTAATTTATTTACCTTGCTTATTGGCACAGTCCCATCCCTTTGTTTGCTTGCCTTTTCCATTGACTTCAAGGACACGTGAGGGAGTCCTTGTTTGGGATTGCTGCCATTCCGTCTTTTGGTATATTAGCGTTGACGCTATTCTCTGTTTTTCTGATACACACACACACACTCACTGACAGACATACACTCATTCAATGACAGACAGACACACACACATTCACCGACAGATATATGCTCACTCACACAGAGACACTTACTGACAGACATACAGACACACACACACAGACACTCACTTGTCATAAGTGCGATATTTATTTTTTTAGTAGTGTTTGTGGAACTGCACTCATTCCCATAAATCTAAGCCAGGGTGCTTGCTGAACCGGAATCAAACACCAGATTTCCAAAAATTAATAAAGTAATAGAGGTCCAGGCACTCCTTGGTTCAAGACTGGTACTTTATTAGGAACCACAACAGATAGGAACACATACATACATACACACATGCAGACAGACAGGCACACACAGACAGGCACACATACAGACACACACACAAGACACATACATACAAACAGACAGGCACACATACATACAGACACACACACACACACACAGACATGCATACAGACACACATAAGACATACATACAAAGGCACATACACACAGACAGACACAAGACACATATACATACAAAGGCACATACACACAACACATACATACAAAGATACAGACAGACACATACAGACAGACACACACACACATACAGACACACACACACACACACACACAAAACATACATACAAAGACACATACACACAAACACAAAATATTTTAGTCACCCTCCTGTTTCCTACCTTTTAGGTGCAAAGAGGGTGACTTTCCTTGGGATCCACTGGTGGCTCAGGTGGAGGGGAGTCAGAGTTCCCACTCTGACTCCCTGGTCTTCCTCCCGCGCGGCTCTCAGTGTTAGCTGGGATGAGTTATGTGCAGTGATGTAATCACAGGGGGCCCGGTCACGCTGTTAAAGTGCCCAACCCTGACAGCATGGGCCACCCAATAGAACCCTCCATATGCAGCCCCGGCGGCTTGCCGCAAATGGTGATGGCGGTACCCGGTCGCAGGGGTACCGCCAGCTCGCACCCGCCAGCCCGGTCTCTCAAAATTAGAAAATCCCTACCGCCCACACGGAATCCTGAAATGCCCACTAGTGGGCGGTAGGGACCAGGTTGACGACCCATGCTCTAAACACATACGCACATCAGCCCTCCACACAAGTGTCTGCATTATTATTATTATATTTATATAGTGCCAACAAATTACGTAGCGGTTTACAATGGGAGGACTAACAAACATGTAATTGTAACCAGACAAGTTTGACGCACATGAGCTTACATGCTAGAGGGAGTGAGGTTAAGTGACACAAAAGGTAAGGTAAGTATTAGAAAAGTAGATTGGTAGAACAGTATTCAATGAAGACTTAGTGGGGGGGTTTTTTAAACACATATCCCCATGCACTCAAACACATTGACCTGCCACACACATATGACCCTGTATGCATGCTCACTAACTACTCCCCATATATGCAGCTGTGTTTAAACACACAATATATGACCTAGCATTTAAATACACGTAAAACCCTCAATACAAATATGCCCCTGCCTACACACACTGAATTCTTGGAAAAAACAACAAATACTGTGTAACTTTTCACATTGGATAGTAACTTAATTTTAAGCTCTACATACCTGAATTCACACCCCAACACTCCCATACACTTATGTACACAGGCACCACGCATAAATGTCCCCAAAAATTTTTTTACTTTGCATTTACACACACATAGCCACATTACAACAACATAAACACCAGGTTTGACACAAACACTGATTCTGTAAAAATAAACTAATACATTCACACACACACATTGCTCAAAAACAGTTCTAACACATAAGCACACTGACACATCATACAAATACACCCCCAGCATCCAAACACACACACATTGACACAAAATATAAATACACCTCTTGCATTCATCCGGGGAGTGGAAATTAAAAAGAACTCTTTTCAGCCCCCTATCCTGCCCCAGTTACTCCCTGTTTCAATCTCCATATTTCACCCCACTTACTGTCTCTTTCACCCCCAATATCTTTCCCCAGTTGCTCTCTGCTGTAGCCCAACATCCCTATCAGCCCGCTAGAGGAGCTTCCTGGACTCTCTGAGTTTAACTCAGTATAACAATGTTGGTTGTCCTCACACTTTCACGTCTTCAAAATTCCCATATGAAGGCATTGTGGCGAAAGTAACCTCGCCACTGGTTCTTGGAGGGACCTGCTTGGCAGCCTTTTGCCTCAGGATTATGGGCCATGCAAAAAGGCTCATTAAATACTTTGTTTGTGCCTTTTTGCTATCCTGTTCGGGAACCGAACAGACGCACGAACCAGGGACTACACGAGAGCTTGTTAAGCCCTATCATCACCTCTTAATGATTCTAACCGCAGCATTCTAATTGTTTGTGTGGGTGGCCTCAGTTCACATGGTTGACCACAAGGTGGTGGCCATCTTCTTCCCATGAACGCAGGTAGCGGTGTTTGGTCGTCGAGTTCATGTTTTCGGACACTGAAACTCTCGAACACTGCTGGACTTCCATTATAGCCTACATTTGGTACTTTACATCCTCGAAGAGCACTGTTCGGTGGAATAGTTTGTCTGAATGAGGTGAATAAGCTCCACAGTATGAATATTGACCACGTTCTGTATTTTGTTCGTTTGGAAACTACCGAACTACACCGACCGCAAGCCCTGATTATCTAGAACTGTTTTGGGCATGGGACCATGCGTGCGGTTGGTCAAATTATGACTTCCAGGAAACTGCTGAACCACTGAACTGATCTGGATGATTTTTGGATATGTTGGTCACCCAGATCAGGGTTATTATGTATTTTAAGGTACTTTTGTGGTTTTTGTGTCTGGAGATAATTGAGTATAGTTCCGTTCATGACTCAGTTATATCCCAGGCACAGGGGAGTGATTGCCTTATTATGTATGGGAGTGTCCTGGATTTGAGTGCCAGTTTAACAGTGTATTTGTTTTTTACTGTGGTTTACTCTCAGATCCAGGGGGGAGTGCCCCTTGCATGGGACATGCATATACGGACAGTTGTGGCTACCATTAAAGGAGTTCCTGCCTGTCCTCAACATAGAGTCTCATCTTATGTGTGGGGGCAACAGCTGTAACTGCTCTGGGGAAGTGGGGACTACGGTGCTGATGGTGTCTTGGAAAAAACAACAAATACTGTGTAACTTTTCACACTGGATAGTAACTTAATTTAAAGCTCTACATACCTGAATTCACACCCCAACACTCCCATACACTTATGTACACAGGCACCAGCTGTATCTGCTCTGGGGAAGTGGGGACTACGGTGCTGATGGTGTCTGGTGGAGTGCACAGGAGTACTCAGAGTACTTCCTCCTGCTGTGGATATAATCTTCTCCTTCCATCCCCTTTATCCAGATTTTCCAAAATGTAGCTCTATGCCTCATTGCTTTTCCATGCATTCTTTCTGCTTCCCACTCGTTGTTGTTGCTTGTAGAATACCCCCCCAAAAAAAGTCTTAAGGTTTAAATGATTATTCAGTATACGTCTGCCACTAGGTACTCAGATTAAATGCCTTTAAAAAGCTGTAAAATATGTTACTGATTGTTTCTCCATCAGGCTTATTTCTTGCATATATATATGTAGAATTGAATGAAGTCTTAAGATTGTTCTTTTTTTACAGGATATATTGTGTCTATTTAATTACCAGACAAGTTGTTTGTTGGGATTAGGGCAGATAGATCATATACCACTATATACAGAATTGATTAATTTCTTCGGACTATTATAAGAAATTAAGATTATGCCTGATAATTAAAGTATCTTGTGATTAGCAAGAGACCATGTCTGATCTTTTCTATTCTCAACAGAAATCTATCGATATAACTTACTGGAGACTGATTTGGTGCATAAACATTGGTTATACCTTGTGTTTGAAATATCAGTATCCATCCATAATATCCATCTTCCCTCTTTGTCAATATTCTGAAATCTAATTATTGGATCTATATTCTTTGCGAAAAATATAGCAACCCCTGTCTTCTTTTTCTCTCTGAGTGAGAATTTAATTGCTGGAATTTTTTATTATTCACATAAATCTTGTCAATCAATCTCCAGTGGGTCTCCTGGACACATCCTATCTGTATCTTCTCTTTTTTATTAAAAAAAAAACCTCTTTTGAGGAGAGTTGAGACTTGGAGCATTAACAGAAGCAAGTCTCACTACTCGACCTCGCTGCTTCGTCCTCCGCTGTACCCACCACTATTTGCCGCTTCCAATTTGACTAAATATATACACAAACAAATATGAAACCTAACAAAGTTAATACCATTAGACATAATAACTGAAAAATATAAAAAAAGACATACCGTATATACTCGAGTATAAGTTGAGTTTTTCAGCACATTTTTTGTGCTGAAAAACCCCCACTCGACTTATACACGAGTTAATGTCTGTATTATGGCAACTTACATTGCCATAATACAGACCAGGACCGCCGGGCTCATTACAAGCCCGGTGGTCATGTTGAGGGCTGACAGTGAGCGGTTACTTACCTTCCTGCAGCTCCTGTCAGCTCCCTTCTCCTCCGTGCAGCTCCTCTGTCAGCTCCCACTGTAAGTCTCGCAAGAGCTGCGGTGACCCCGCGGCTCTCGCGAGACTTACAGTGGGAGCTGACAGAGGAGCTGCACGGAGGAGAAGGGAGCTGCAGGAAGGTAAGTAACCGCTCACTGTCAGCCCCCCTCCTACACAGCCCATCCACTGGACCACCAGGGAGTGAGAGCCCCCCTCCCTGGCAAGCTAACAAGCAGGGAGGTGGGACGAAAATTAAATTAAATAATAAAAAAAAACAATAAAAAATATTAAAATAAAAAACGTAAAATATTAAAATAAAATAAAAAACTTAAAATATTAAAATAAAAAAATTATAATAAAAATGCCCTCCTCCCACCCAGTTCACACACACACTCATACAAACACACACTCTGCACAGAGTGTGTGCGTATATAATGCAGAGTGTGTGTCTGTTTGTATGAGTGTGTGTGTAGAATGCAGATTGTTTGTATGAGTGTGTGTGTGTGTATAATGCAGAGTGTGTGTTTGTATGAGTGTGTGTGTGTGTGTGTTTGTATGAGTGTGTGTGTGTATATAATTCTAAAAATCACAGAATTTCATAGCCCCAAGTTTTACCCTCGACTTATCCACGAGGCATAGCATATTTCGCAATTGTTGGTCACAAAACTGCCCTCGACTTATACATGAGATCGACTTATACACGAGTATATACGGTACTTGGCAAACATAGTACATTTAAATATAATCGCAAAGACCATGGATCCTCTAATACAGGGGTTGGCAACCTTTTAGCAGCCCTGTGCTGAAATAAGATTGTGATGTCCCGTAGCATGCCGGTCCTATTTTTTTAAATTGAGACGTGTAAGTTGCCGTATTCTGCTTGTGTTATTTATACTACAGTTGCTTTGTATAGTTGTATTTGTGTATTTATGAGCTATTATATTGTATATGTTTGTGATATCGTGTATGATATGTATGAATGTGGGGTGTGTATGGGGGCTCCTTGTGGAATTGTGTGTCTAGATTGAAATGTCACATATTTCCCATGTGTGTTTGGTAGTGTATGTATGTGTGGGGCTGTTTGGTGTATTGTTTGTAAGAGCCTGCATGTGGGTTTGTGTGCATATATGCGGATTGTTAGTGGTTTTGCGTTTGTGCGGATTGTGTGCATGTTTGTTTGTGGGCTGTTATTATTTGTATGAGGGGAGGGTTATTATTCATTTCTGTGTATATCTAGAAGTGTGGGTGGCTTCCCCGGGGTCCAGTGGGGACCAGGCTGGTCTGGTACAGGTTAAGGACAGGAGCTGCAACAGCAGCTATGGACTGCTCTACTCCAGTGTGGATTCCCATTAACAAGTGCTGGGAGGAAGGTATCTGAGATTGAGGATTGTCCTTCACCACCTTTTCGTATTACAAGATATCTGAAATTTCACTGGGACGCCTGATAGGCCAGAGCCGGGTTGACTCTAGCAGCCTTGAGTGCCGTGCAAAGACACTTCAAGTGCCGTGTATGGCGCACGTGCCATAGGTTGCCTACCCCTGCTCTAATAGCTTCATAAAGAAAATATGAGGCTATTGGTGTGCGGAAACAGCATTCCATACTAAAAATAATAGTTATTTCCCAAATTAGTCATTATAGAATTGTGCACACACAAAAATTCTGCATGTGAAAGTTAATAAAGTGAAACTTGACGAGATAAAGGGTGAAAGGTGTTGGGCTAGCCAACTCCAGGGCATCTATAAAGGTGTTATGTTACGTTTACATTAGGAAGTATATATTTGTGAATGAGCATGGACTCCACCCACTATGAGTGAGTGGTCCTTCCATCCCATTCTCTTCGTTTGTTTCTTTAAAGTGAAACTTGTTCATTGCGGATGTGGGACAAAAATCTTTCATCAACAACCACTTGAGAAAAAGTCACGAAGGCAAGAAAAAACATTATCAATTAAACTTAAACTCCTGATAATTTAGCTCTGGGCAGTTTCCTCTCAGCAGCCACTCTTCTGAGTTCATTCAGGTGGATCTGATCCCATCAATGCTTCTCACAGAGGAGTATCAAGGACTTTCTTTACATGACGCTCAGTCAATTGGATGCTTCTCATACAAGGATTGTGTATAAGAAACAATCACTGAGTTTGGCAACATCACAAATAACATGATGACGTAAAGACTTTCAATAATTAAATGTCTTCAGTTAGGAAGCAACTCTAGCGATTTTAGATTTCTATTTTTTTTTTTTAAACCCTAAATAACCCAAAAGCAAGCACCGCAGGTCAACGTGAGGAGAAGCGTATCTGTAATCATTCAGCCTAACTACAAACGCTAAAGAAAAAAACTGCTGCAATACAAAGGTGAATTATTAGGAGTATGAAAGATACACTGAAGAAAACAACATTGAACTTTATTTTGCTAATTTATTATTTTTTTTTATGTTATCCACATGATGATGGACCACGAACAAGATGTTTTAAAGGAACCACAAGCAAATCACCAGTATGAGGGATCTACTGTTCTTCACCTGTCAGTAAACCCATTGACATAGAGGTGTGTGCTAAGAATTGATGGACAGGTAAGAGGAGGTGATAGTTTTTTTTTTATTGTGTGAAATCTATACATCTGCCAGCAATTTGGCTAACACAAGTCACACTAAGGAAAAAGGCATATACAGTAAAATTAGAGATACATCGTTACATATTGAATAAACATACTGTGAAGAATCCCCCTCCATTCATTCAGTACTTTCCCTACCTGCTACTTTATTCATGGATTTATTAATGTGACGAAGTACCCTTCGTCACTTGTGCCTGGAGGGGACTACTGGCTAGCCTCCTGCCTTCCGACTATGGCCCATGTGCTGATAGCGGTATTTTCCCCTGCAGAAAGGTTTATTTGTGTATTTCTGCTGGGGCGTTCTGGACTTTCAGTATGGTAGTAGTGCTATCCCATATAGCTATGCCATGGAGCCTATTTGTGTAACAAAAGACTATGGAAAAGACTTTGGCTCCATGGCGATTGAACTGTATGTATGTGATCTGAGCGCCATTCAATAATAATGTGCACTCAGATCTAAGCTATCTGGAGATATGTTGCATGTATATGTTTTATGTAGTAATTGTAACATTGTGTAATTTTATGTCTTT